CCAACCCAAACCATTCTCTGATTCCATTCCACCCTTCTCCTCCCCAGCGACTGGCCAAGCTGCTCTTTGAGGGCACGCAGATGGTGACAAATATCCAGGTGGCTGCAGACCTGAGGGAAACACAGAGGAGGGCAGAGGAGGCCAAGCTGAAGCTGCAGAGGTAAGAGGCTGCCTGGTGGGTCTGTGCTGCTGGGCAGGAGCAGTGCAGATGCTGGTGCACCTCTCTGAGGCCATCCTAATCCTGGGCATCCAGGGACTTTTAGCTGCTCCTCCCCACACTTGAGCTCTAGACCCTTCCCCAGCAGCTCCGTTGCCCTTCTCTGGCCACACTCCAGCCCCTCAAGGTCCTTTTCTGAGTGAGTGGCCAAAAAATGACCCAGGATTTGTGGTGTGGCCTCAGCACATGCCTGGGACAAGGTCCTGCACCACCTCCTCTGGCACTGATGTTCATCCCCCTGTGCCCAGGAGCTGGTGGGGTCCCAAAGCCCTTCCAGCCTTGGCTGCTCCCTGCTCCCCTCTGTGCCCCCCTGGGCAGAGCTGTCCTGCTCCACCAGAGGAGCTGGAAAATCTCCAGAGGACTGGCTCCTTCAGCCCTGTCCCCAGGTCACCCTCAGGAGACACCAAGTCCTTGCTCCTGCTGCCTTTGGAGGGCACTGGAGGAACAGGTTGTGGTTTCTGGCTGTAGCCAGACCCGTGTCCCTCACTCAGATGATTTCCCAGTGGGAATCTCATGGAAGAACCAGATGCTGGGTCCAGGAACTGTCCACAGAGCAGGTTTGGGGCTGGCAGAGGGGGTGGATGCTGTTCAGCCCAAGCCCAGGGCCATGCTCAGGGCATGTGGGGTGGGGCCTCTGTGGAAGGAGTTTGGCAATAGGGATGTTGACTCCTGAGAGTTGACTCCAGCTGGAGCCTGGTCTTTGGACACAGTCTAGAGGTGGCTGGGGAGCTGCTGGGCACAGCTTGGCCATCCCCTCTTGCCCAGAGCAAGGTGAGTTAGCAGGAGGGCCAGTGCTCCTTGTGAAGTGGCTGCTGTGCTGCTTGGGCTGAGCTCTTCAGCCCTTCCTCCTCCAAAAGTGGCTCTTGGAGCACTCAGAGCTGGGGATTCCAGCTCTGGGGACCTGCTGGAGGGGGGCCAGAGGAGCCCCAGCAATGCCCCGAGGGGGGAACCC